GTTTGAAGAAGACAGGGATGATTTTTATACTAATGAAGTCCTAGCATCAATACTACTCCATTTTCAGTGTCTCTATTGAGTTTTGCTATGACTGGCTCAGCTTCAGATCCACTGTAGTTAGGACAATAATCCAGGTGTACATTAAACTTCTTGGGTTTTACCTAGTGAAATTTCTGTGTCTTCTCATCACTCTGTGTGTAGTAATTCTAATCATGGTTTCTAAGCCAGGTAACTGTTATTTTGGAATTTTACTTTCTTAGTAATTAAAATTCTCTGTGTCTATCTAAGAAAGTTGCTTGGGAAAGGTTTTTTTCCTTCCAGACTTAAAATGTGTTTATCCCACCCTCATGCTTGATTGATGGTTTGACTGGAAACAGCTGCTGCTATTCCTTCACATTCTAAAACCTCCGTTCTTCTTTCAGGATTTCTGTTAAAGCCAATGGCCATTCTGATGGCTGATAGTTCTTTAAAACTAATCTTATAAGGTTTGATGATTTTTTGTTGTTACTGGCGTGGTTATTATTTTGATATTTCTTTATTTCTGAGAGGTTTGTTGACAAAATTCTGGCCATACTGAATAAATTCTTCTTATTTCTCTTCTCATGCTCTGTTGTTTTCCATTTTCTTTTGTATTTAAAAAGTTCCTTGATTTTTCTTTTCTATTATATTTATAGTTTATAAGCATTGTGTTTTGTGACTTTCTATTTATTTATCACTTTCTTATTTTATAGAAGAGTGAATTATTCTGAAATTCCATTTTTCTGGACTTTTATCTGATGGAAACTTTCCTCACATATCTAACTCTAATCCTTAAACACATACTTGAAAAATAAAACTCTTAAAATCTCAGTTTGGATTTGTTTTTTGGCAGGCTTTATGATGGAGCCCAGATTAAATGTTTTGTACATCTCCAGCCTGATTTCTGTTGTCTCATGTAAAGAAAACTGATGAGGGTAGATTAAGTCAAGAAGTGGCTAATCTCTGAGCTGTAGACACAGTAATTTGTATATACTTAGGAATATTTAGGTAAATTTCAACTCATGGTCTAGGAAATTATAAGACACTGTTAACATTATATAATAAGGTTTTTGAAAATTTGAAAGATCAATTTATTCAGTTGCAAAGATTTCTAATAAAGTTAATTTTTCTATATGCTTCAAAAATATATCTCTGAAAATCTCACTTCACTTACTAAATCCAAGAAAATTTACCCTTGCAAACAGGTAAACTGCATACATTTCAGTAGATAGTTGAGTATTTCAATTAAAAAGAATTTAGTTTTAATATTTTAGGTTTTCTAAATTGAAGCTTTTAGCATTGATCCTGATATAATATCACTGTTGACTAGCTGTGAGGGAAATTTGCAATTCTGAAACAGTATAAAATTATTTAACATCAAATCTTCCAAGGTCTCCTCCAATAATTACAAAAACAATTACTCATTGAAATATGCACTCCCCCCAAAAAATGCAAAGAAAATTTAAGTTTAGGTGATGAATATCACAAGTCCATTTTTATTTTTTGGAATATCAGTTACTAATATAAATAGATTAAAATGGAAAATGAAGGCAGGGGTGGTGTCACACACCTATGAACCCAGTACTTTCAAGGCTAAGGCAAGAGGAATATATTGATGTAAAGTTATTCATACCAGTGCTCACATATACACTCCAAGTAAACATTGTCTTATCTTTCCCCAAATTATCAGCTTGTGATGAAGATCTGGGGGTGATTGCTTCCACAAAGCCTCTGCAGTGACATCTCTGCTGCTTCTACTTCATCTCAGGGGGACTTGCTCACAACTATTAGGTTGTAATATTCTAGGAAGCATCTGTGTGCTTACTGTTACACATGTGCTAAACTTAATTTCCAAAGAAAAATAACCCATTTAAATTAGTTAAGAATATCCAGTAATAGCTATGAATTACTACCTTAGTTATAACTGATCAGTGTTTATTTCTGTTGTCATTATCTAGTTCATAAAGATTCCGTGGAACTAGCTTGGGTATCCAGCTTGGGTCTTCATCTCCTGAGATTTCTAAAGACTTAGTCTTGTTGCTGACAGTGGACAGTACATCAGCCAACACCACGTATCTTGTCACCTGAAAGTCACATACTCACTTTATGTTCTTTGTGAGCAGTCGTACAGCTTTTAGGTCATTACTCATTAAATGTGGTGAAGCTTAAAATTAAATGATACTTGTCATCTATTATGTTTGTATGTTCCTTAGATTACTAAATCTCCACAAAGAAGAAGGCAAAGATCACCATAAATTTATAAAACACGAGTGTCCTAAAATCAAATATTGTGATAATGAAGAGGTAAAGTGATCTTTCTTTTAAAATGTAGACCTAAGGAGACAGCAGCACTTGATCTTTTATTTCACATCTTTTGAGATACCTGTCTGCACACTCTTTTGTTTTCTGAACTATGCCTTTTCCATTTTTATTCATCTTTATGGACACACTTTGAGTTTTAGTACTTACAACTAAACATTATAATTTAAAGTATTGTGAAAGCCTCCAGTGCAATTGTTTCTTAAAATACAACAAATGACTTTTCTCAGTGGATGCACATGTTAACAACTCTGTAGTCATAGGAGCTATAGTCTTTTCTTGTTCAGTCTCAGCTTCAGTGAGTGCCAGAGAATGATACCACTTCATCAGTTAGAACATGTGTCATTTTCTGTATGTAACAAACATTTACAAAGGAAATGATGTGAAGAGAATCTTTGAAGAACATATCTTTGGGAAAAGATAAAACACTTCAGATTACTATCTTTTCACTTATATTATCATATTTTTATATTACTCATATTACATTACTATATTAACAAATTGTAAACATTAAAGCAATAAAAATTATTATACATACTTTTTTGGTAAGTTGAAATTTTAAAATTGGTAAATGGCTACTGTTCTTTCAATTTGGAGAGCAGGGCTTTAGTTAAGTATTATTCTGGAGTTTTTATATAATATTCATTTCTTTTATTTACATGTTTAAATGTTTTCCTTGCATGCAGTTATGTGTACTTTCAACATTCCATGCCACAGGTAATGGATTCCACCACATTAGAGTCACAGGTGATCATGAGCCATCATGTCATTGCTGGTACTCTAACTTTAGCCATTTGCAAGACTTAAAAGTGCTCTTAATCACTAATACACCTCCATAATCTTAATCTCAAAGATTTCTGCACACAGAATATCAGTGTGCAGTAACTGAAAATGCATGTTGATGAGAGAATTACATGTTTCTCTCTGACAATTGACATGAATCCATTCCTTTACTAGATTAAGCATTTTAGGACCAAAAATTATATAAAAATAAAGTGAGTGATTTATTTTGTCATATTCATGGGACGTAATATGGTCAGTTCTACTAACTTGTGTATTATTTCTATATATACATGCATGCATGAATGTGCCTCTTTGTATGGAATATACACTAGTGAAGCTGAAAATATAATTAGGCATTCTTTTTCTCACAAGATTCTGGGTCAGTGTGGTCATTTTCTATTTATCACAAAGCTGATTTTAAAGTATTAAAAGAAATCAATTCAATAATAAATTGCTCATGATAACCTGATCAAGTAACTTACATAAGCACTAAAGTTTAAGAATATTGAGTGAAAATGTAAAATTTTCTGGGCCCTGGTGATACATGACAGCACTTGGCACCTTGTTTTCAAACATATGGAAAGGAATCTCAAACAGGAATTTCCAAACAGAATATCAATTTGATCAACTTCACCATTACATATTTGTCAAAATGTATGGAAAAGAGTGTCTTAATATCACATGTTTTCTCTTCTTGGAGGCTCCTAGCTCCATATCAGCAGGTGTGATTTTATAACCTTTAGAAACTATGGAAACCAGGAAAGCAAAACTGGATTATTACCAGGGTAGGGGTAAGTGTGGGAGCAATAGACAGCAGAATATAAGGATACCATTATCTGATTTAGGAAATGAGAAAGACAGTGATACTTAGTGGGGAGGAGATGGGTACATACAGAAGAAATTGAGAAATGGCAAAGGGAAATAACAGGACACAATTTATCAAAGAGGAAAATAGAAAAATGGATGGGTTCTTAGGTAAATGTGGGGGAGACAAATACAAAAAGTGGATTAAGTAAAATAACATCATGGATGGCTAGAAAAAGCCATAACAAAACATAGTTAGTGTTTACTTTTCTCCCCTACAAAAATGGAAGAAAAATACTGTTTGTCTTAATAGTTTGGAGTAGTTCTTTAATCCTTAATTGGAGTTCACAAAGGGTTTTAATGTGATGGGAAGTGAACAGGAATCTATCTAGGACCATTTATAACTAAAATAGTTACATAATTGACAGGCTGTGGAAAGTACACTAATGTTCTCCCAATGTATCTGTGTCTTTAATTCTAAATTCAGAGGATATAAAATTTCATGGAGGAAAAAAAAACATTAAAAAGATTAATTGAGATAGGCTTTTTGGTGTTTAAAATAGTGAGATAATAATGAATTATCAATGTCATTCCACCAGAATTATGAGTCAAAAGTAGCATAGTTGTGAAAGAGCACAGTAAAATTATAGAATATGAGGTAGAATATCCTGATATTTTTCTCAAACCAACATACATTTTATGCAGTTCGTGGATGTGAGAAATATTCTGTAATCATTACTACTATTTTAGGTGTTAACTATAAAATGAGATAATTGAAATCAATAAGATTAGATTTCTAAGGCATTAGACTCAGTTTCATGAGACAATGTGTTCATACTGTATAGATATGAATATAAAGGTACTTGTTATCTATAATATTTTATATCCATGAGATACATGGATGGTATATACACATGTAGGCTATGATGTAAAATCTGAAAACAAGAAGTTAAAGAGATAGATTAATGAAGAATTAATATAGAAAATAGAATGATGATATAGACACAACATCCAATGAATCACAAGTTTTACATATACTCTGTTTTTCTTCCAGAAATATGAAACACACTTCTACTATGTTCTTAAGACAAGTACACTCTGCATTTATGTCCTCATTAGAGAATGTCCTTTATTTCCAAGCTGGACTTGGAGTCTTAGCCAATATGTTTCTCCTTCTTTTCTGTATTTTCATAATCCTAGGTCACAGATCTAAGCCCATGGACCTGATCTCCTGTCAGTTGACCTTTGTTCACATAATGTTGTTTCTCACTGGAGGAAATATTTTCATTGCAGACATATTTGAGCCACTAAACATTAAGAATGACATCAAATGTAAGGCAATTTTTTACTTAAGCAGAGTGATGAGAGGTCAATCTATCTGTACCACCTGCCTCCTCACTGTGTTCCAGGCTATCACAATCAGTCCCAGTACCTCTTTCCTGGCAAAATTTAAACAAAAACTTAACAAATACATCATCAATGCTTTATTTTATATTTGGTTTTTCAATTTGTCTGTCAGTAGTGACAAGCTGTTCTATGTTGGTGGTTTTACTAATCTGAGTGAGACCAAGCAGATGAAAGTTATTAAATACTGCTCACTCTTGCCCATGAACTATATCATCAGGGGATTAACTTTTATACTGTCACTCTCCAGAGATGTGTTTCTTGTAGCAATCATGCTGACCACAAGTGTGTACATGGTGAATATCTTGCAGAGACATCAGAGGCAATGCAAGCATCTTCATAGCATCAGCAAACTGAGAGCATCTCCTGAGAAAAAGGCCACCCAGACCATCTTGCTGCTGGTAGTTTTCTTTGTGGTCATGTATTGGGTGGACTTCATCATCTCAACTACCTCAGTCCTGTTATGGACATATGATCCAGTCGTCCTGACTGCTCAGAATTTTGTAATGTATGCCTATCCCACAATTACTCCTTTGGTACAAATCATTTCTGATAAGAGAATAATCAATGTGCTGAAAAACTTGCAGTCAAAGTGCCACTAGATTCTCTAAAAAAATCTTTTTTCTCTTACTTTCAAAATGATTCATTTATTTTCATTTATATGTACAAGTGTTGTACCAGCATGTATGCCTGACTGCATTCCTGATATTCACAGAGGTCAGAAGAGGTCTTGTGTTCCCCCTGGAACTACAGTTTCACATAATTGCAGGTGCCAGGCTGGTGTAGCTCTAGTAATTGTGGTTTTTTTTTTCTAAACTCCTTAAACTTCAGTTGTTCAAGTAGCAAAGTGATATTTTTCATATAATTCAAATAGTTTCTGATATTACATTCATATATTCTTTTGATGTTACTGATGCCAAGTACTATAAACTTCTTAAGTTCATTGTATGCCGTAAGTTTCTCTTTTCACATGAATTCTCTTCTCTCTTATTTTTGCTTTATCCTAAAAGTATCCTTGATGTTGAGGTTATTCAAAAGAAACTCCTTGCTAACTTTGTAAGGCTTTTTTGAAACCATTTTAATCTATGTCCATTCATAAAGTTTAGTTAAAATTATAGCTCTAATTCTGTTTATTAATTCAAATTTTTCTAGATCACAAGTTAATGGGAATTTATGTATTCTATTGTTTTTTACCACTGTTACTCAATTAGTCCTATATTAAACTTTATTATGTCTCTTTCTTTGCACATCATTTAATCTGTATTTATTGAAATATCATAAATTAATAGTCATGGGAAAAAGCTGAAGGGCCTTCATGTCACGTGGGCATGGATCTCTGTTGGGGTGAGTTACAAGTCCCCGTGCATCTTCTGTTCTTTGCTGGTGCCTCAAGGAGGCAAGCCTCTGGAGAGAAACAGAAGCATGCGTAGAAGTTTAGCTGAGTAAGTTCCACACACAGCATCAGGCTGGTGCTAAAGGGTCCCGCCCAGCAGGGGGAGTCCCCACTCAGCCAGAGGTTCTATGAAGCAGGCAGGACTCTCGAGTGGCAATCCCTGGGGCCAAGAGGTGGCCAGGGACCGACTGGCTGCCATCTTGGGGCCTCCAGGTGTTGCTGGGGACTGCACCAGAATGGAGATGGCAACAGGCCAGTGTGCTGAGAGAGGCGAGGGGGAAAAAGCAGGCCCTGGTGCCACCCCGAGGGAAGTGCTCACTTGTCATACTCACTTGGCTTGATCACAGCTGGCTTGGTTGAAGAGGAAGTCCCCATGGCTGGAACACAAAGAGGTCCTGCATGAAGGCAGCATGACAGCAAGCCCCAATAACATGAGAAAGTCCAGGGTTCCAAAAGCTTTATTGACATAGTGGATGATAGATGGTCTGAATGGGTACCCCACCCTTAAGCTGGTGGGGGGGAGCTGACTTAAATAGGAAGGAGGAGAAGGGAGGATCTGGGAGGGAATGACTTAATTAGCTACACCCTCTGGCCTTTAGGTAACTCATTAATATGGAGATGTCTTGAGGTTGAAGCCTGTAGTCACGCCCTCTACCTGTGAATGGTGACACAAACCTCTCTGGGAGGGGCTGCTTTGTCCTATGTCACTGAATGGTGCAGGTTAAATGGAGATCTTAGACCGTGTGTTAGGAGCCTGGGTTCTGGGGGCATTGCCGAGCACCTACCCTTACCGTTGCCCCACTGGGGTTGGGGTTTGAGGCCCATGACCATCCAAGAACCAGACTATCCCTTCACGGCCCCACAAATATTGTATGCACACAGATACATATGTCCAATGTGGTTTTTGTGAATGTCTGTATTCTTGTGTCTATGTCTGACAAAGAATGTGTGTTCATGTACACTTTGCAGCCAGGGGACAACATTGGCTGTCATTTTTCAGAAGCAATTCACCTTGGGCTCTAACAGAGTGTGTCTTTTCTGTACCTGGAGGTTACCAAATAGGCTGTTACTGTAGAGAGCCGTGGAAGGCAGAGACAGCGCTGGCAATCCGATGCTCTCACAAGTTCTATAATTTACTGCCTTTGTGTAAGGGGAAAGCACGGGAAGTTACAGCCCATCCCGGGGCATATAGGATTTTATGGGCAAGTAACCAACCAGATATGTACACACCGCTCCAGCGGGTATTTAACCAGGACCTTCTCGGGGCTCGGGGCCTTCTCCCAGCTGGTTGTCCACCAGCCGGCCTTCTTCCAGTGGGTCTTTCTCTATAACATTCTAACAAAGATCTGCAGAGGAACTCTGGTGTCTGTGTACATTCTTGCTGGCAAGATAATTGCGCACGACATAGTGGTGCCGGAATCCCGGGAAAAAGAAAAAGGAAAATTCAACAAAAGGTGCCGTGTGGAGGAAGCCCTCCCATCATGGAGTAAAAGTCAAAGGCTGCAGCAAAGAGCAGAATCAGAGAGGTATGGTTAACCCTGAATTTTTTCACAAATCACAAGCCACAGTAGAAGCCTTGTCATTCTAGTGCCAGCTTTCATCCTATTTCTCCTGCTGTTGTATTGCTTTCACTGGTTTGCCTGTTTAAATCTTGCCGCCGCTTGAGCCGGCCCTGCCTCCTCTTCCAACTCTTTTCTGGGGTTTTTACAAGGCAGGAAAAAGTTTGGCTCTAGCTGCTTTGAGCCAGCGGTTTTACGAGCAGACAGAGGCTTAGCACAATTAATCAAACTCGAGTGAGCTGCAAAGCCCTTCCCCCTGAGAGTCAGATTCTCCCGGAGATAAGGGAACAAACAGCATGTGGCCTCGCAGTCAATTGTGACAGCTCTGCAGAGAAAACTTTGTTAGGGAGAGAGATCATGCAGTACCCTGGTTTGCCTACACGGGAACGCTGACACTCGCCTCCTGGGACAGGCTAGAAGGAGATCTAATTAGGGAACAGCAGAATGGAAAGTTGAGGCCAGGCACACGCCCATTGTAGAAATTACAAGATCAAAAGTGTAGCTCAGCTATTGTGGTGAGTCAGGGAATATTGAGAGAGATTCAGGGTATCAGCCTGCCAGAAACTGATTCTGGGGAAGCGCTTACGAGCTCAAATGGAAGCTCGGGTAGACTGTCTACGAATTCCCCCAAAGACATTCGATCTGCAGGGATAACAGAGGGAAAATTTTCCCTGGGAGAGAAAAGGAGAAAAGGAGTAAAGATGAGGGAAATTTTAATTCCCTGGGAGAGAAACGTAGAAAAGGAGAAAAGGCCTTAGGAAGAAAATCTCTTTATCCAGTAAAGAATATGACAGAGAGAGAAAGGGTTTTAGAAAAACAGTTGTCCTCTCTCTGAGCTGTGTCAACAAAAGGAGCTCTTAAATGTCCTTCTTTGTTGTCTGTCCTTGGCGCGCCAATGTCCACGTGTGTCGATTGTTTGCTTTTTGTTTCCTTGTCTAAGTGTATGTTCTATGTTACATGTTCAAAAGACAAGAACTGTTACATATACAACTCTTGGGCTAGTTTAACTTTGTTTTAAAGGCAGTCTTAATATACATAACAGAGGCTGATAAGCTACCTACACCTGTAGCTAAGAGTTGAGCTGAGCTGAAAAAGCCTCTATAGCCAGTTGAGGAATTGTAAAGTTTGAAATTATATGAAGTTGAGTCAGGGGAGCCTGGGTCCTCCAAGTGAGAACAGGATTTAGATAGAAAAATAGTCCGCTATGAGGCAGAAGGAGATGAAGAAATAGTCCGCTTTGAGGCGGAAGGATACCACTCACGTGGGCGGCTGCCGCTGCAGAATAGAAAACAAAGGGAGGCAGGGATTAGAAAGCGTGTGCTTACAGCTCCCCCACCCCCCTGGAATTCCCAGGCAGCACTCCCTGCTGTAATTCCCAGCACACTGCCGCCTTATGCAGACAAGTGCTGTTCAAGCTCCTTCCTTTCAGGAGAAGATAAGAGAAAGATGTTTCAAACTTTTCCAGTGTTTGAAGCTTACAGAGGAGGCCGTGTGGGTACCTCAGTGGCCATTATCCTCTGAGAAATTAGAGGCTGCTACTAAATTAATTGAAGAACAAGTTAAAAATGGTCATTTAGAACCTTCTACTTCTCCTTGGAATACACCTATTTTTGTTATAAAAAAGAAATCAGGAAAATGGAGACTTCTCCACAATTTAAGAGCAATTAATGCACAGATGCAATTGTTTGGCTCAGTCCAAAGAGGTTTACCCTTGCTCTCTGCCTTACCCAGACAATGGAGAATAATAATTATAGATATTAAAGACTGCTTCTTCTCCATTCCCCTACACCCACAAGACAGACAAAGATTTGCGTTTACATTACCTGCTATTAATCACCTTGAACCTGATAAGAGATATCAGTGGAAAGTTCTGCCTCAAGGCATGGCCAATAGTCCTACTATGTGCCAGCTATATATACAAATGGCCCTTGAACCTGTTAAGAAACAATTTCCTACCCTACTTTGGATTCATTTTATGGATGATATTTTAATATGCCACAAGGAGTTGGCCATTTTACAGAGATCATATCCTTTATTAATTGCTGCATTAGAACAGAGAGGTCTACATATTGCCACAGAGAAGGTTCAACTTTCAGAAGTTGGTTCCTTTTTAGGGACAATTATTTATCCTGAGAAAATAGTTCCTCAAAAACTAGAAATTCTCAGAGATCATTTACACACCTTAAATGATTTTCAAAAATTATTAGGTGATATAAATTGGTTAAGACCATTCTTGAAAATTCCTTCTGCTGAATTGAAACCTTTGTTTGATATTTTGGAAGGAGATTCTCATATTTCCTCACCAAGAACACTAACACTGGCTGCAAAACATGCCCTGTGATTGGTGGAGGATGCCTTACAAGAAGCTCAGCTAAAACACATTGATGAGACCAAAACTTTTAATTTGTGTGTCCTTAAAACCAGACGTTTACCAACTGCTGTGTTATGGCAGGATGGGCCCTTGTTATGGATCCATCCCAATGCATCTCCTGCAAAAATTATTGAATGGTACCCAGATGCAGTCGCTCAGCTTGCCCTTCGAGGATTAAAAGCAACTGTCACTCATTTTAGAAGGGAGCCTAAGGTTTTAATAGTGCCTTATACTGCACATCAGGTTCAAATATTAACTGCTACCTCTGATGTTTGGGCA